GTGGTCTGCCGGACCAAGCCTTCAGGTCAGCCGGTCCGTGGGCCTCGGACTAAGCGTATTCCGCCGGACCAAGCTCCTGGTCCGGCGGACCGGGATCCGGAAAGTTTCCATAATTCGATTTTAGGGTTTTATTAGCTTATTTAAGTTTGGGATTTCGTCCAAACTTAATTAAGGCCGACCTAAAAACTCAGAGAAACATCCTAGAATCCTAGAGAACTTGTTCTCTTCGATTTCTATTGTCCCGGGATTGGATCTCGTCTCTTGAGTTACCCTTTTCTTCACTAATCCTAGCAGATTCGTTCCAAATCGTTTGGAATCCTTCCCGTCGGTGTGGATACGTGTAGAGGGACTGTAACTTCAGTCCTAGGTGATTTAGAACAGGCCCCGGATCGAAATAAACTTCAAGTCTCATCGAGAACGAGGTAAGTAACGATTCCCTCGGTGATATACACGATCTTTCGGGTTTTGCGAGTTTGGTTGCGTGTGACGTTTGACTAGGTTTAGATCTTTCTTCCGCTGCATGAAACCTAGTAAACCAAACCCTAGATCGATATGATCGCATGCTAGGAACCCGTAGATAACCCAACAGAGTAGTTTCCGAACTCGTCAATGAGACTTTTAATGGCAGACAAGGATTCAGGGGAACCTTCAGAGAAAAGCATTACATCATCAGCGAATGCAAGATGGGTGATAAGCGGATTTCGGCATTTGTTATGCAACCGAAATTTCCCCTCCATAGCTGCCTTATCAATCATCCTCGAAATTATTTCCATCACAAGAATGAATAAGTAGGGCGATAGCGGGTCACCTTGCCGGAGACCGCGAGTTCCAGGGAAATAGCCATGCAACTCTCCATTAATAGCAATAGAAAACTTAGTAGTAGTGATACACTGCTCAATCCAACCCACAAATCTGTCCAGGAGCTTTAAGGCTCTGAGAATGCCAATGAGGAAATCCCAATTCACAGTATCAAAAGCCTTACGAATATCCAATTTTAGCATAGCACTTCGGGGAGAGCTCTTACATCTATAATCCTTAACTAGCTCTGCAGCCATTAGTATGTTTTCCACCATCAATCTACCCTTCTGAAAGGCAGTTTGGTTTGGGGAAATAATCTTCTCAAGCAGGGGTTTGAGTCTACGAGCTAGAATGGTCGATATCACCTTGTACGAGAAATTGCAGCAGCTAATGGGCCGAAACTCGGTTAGAGACACAGCCGCTGGCCTCTTAGGAACGAGTACAATCGCAGTAGCATTCATCTGCCCAAGTAGCCTCCCACTGATGAAGAATTCCTCCACAGCCTTGATTATATCATTACCGACAATATCCCAAGAGGAGGTGAAGAACTCCTTTAGGAAACCATCCGGCCCAGGTGCTTTCTTCGATGGCAGAGACATGATAACAGCCTTAATCTCATCTGCTATCGGAATCCTCGAAATATCAAGATCTGTAGGATCAAGTTGAACAGAGTGTAGTAGGCTAGACAACCAACTTGCAGGAGGTTCAACAGTGCTGTAGTCTCGTGAACCCAACATATTTTTGTAGAAATCAACAGCTAGTGTCCGGACATCAGTCGGATTGTCCACTCGCTGACCGTGTTGATCAATTAGATAATGGATCCTATTGCGGCCTACACGAGAGGAGGCTGACTTGTGGAAAAAACTTGTATTACGGTCACCCAACTTGAGCCATTGAATGCGCGATTTCTGACAGTAAAGGCGCTCCTCTACAGCAGATAGAAGTAGCCACTTCTTATGCAGGATTTTTCCTTCCTCGACAAGGCTGGATGATGGATTTGACAGCAACTGAGCCTGTACATCTTTAAGCTAGTCGCGGGCATTAAGAACTCGCCTTGAGAGGTTGCTGAAAACCTCTCGATTTAACTTCCGCAACGGGTGTTTAAGGCTTTTTAGGCGCTTGCAGAGTTGATATTGGTAAGTACCAACTGACGGTAACTCGTTCCAAGTGTCGTGAATAACCTGCAAAAAACTAGGACACAAGGTTAGGTGAGTGAAAATTTTAAAAGGAAGTTTTTTCCGAGGGGTAAGGTTAGGAATATAAAGAAGGCACGGAGAATGGTCCGAGGGACCGGGGGCAACATAATCTGCATACGCCTCAGGAAACATGTCATGCCACTTTAGGTTGCACATGATACGGTCAAGCTTAACTGATAGGGGAGCTAGACTTTGGTTGTTACACCAGGTAAAGTGCAATCCTCGACTCGGGATATCATGGATCTCAGCAATAGCTACACACTCCTCAAGGTCAGTTAGGCCTTGGGATGGATGAGGGGAATTTGGATAGTCAGAGCGCTCACTGCACATCAATATCTGATTGAAATCACCCAATATAGTCCAAGGGGATGCAGCTATCGGTTGGTACATAGACAGATGTACTAACTCATTCCAAATATCCTTTCGCTCGGATGGGGTATTCCTTGCATAGATGAAGGTAGCAGTGAATGACGCTTTTCGACTTGGGGATGAGGATTCCGCAAGTAACGGCTTGGGCTGAGGACTGGTAGATGTGACTAAAACCTCAGGGCTCCATACTAGGCAGATCCGGCCTAACGGGTCATCAGCATGATTACAAAAGAGACTCCAACCCGAGGGAATTAGGGTTGCTAGTCTGCTGGCATTTAAGGCTTGAACACGGGTCTCCAAAAGTCCTCCCATCAGAGGCTTGTTTTCCAAAATCCACTTGCGGACTAATGCTCGCTTATAACGGCCATTAAGGCCCCTTACATTCCAGGCAAAAAACATGGGATTCCACAATCTTCTAATTGGATCTCGTGGCCTTGCGGCCATGCTTCTCAGCCTTGGTACTCTTTTGGCCTTTTCCCGACTTGGCGCTCGGTCTAACAGTGCTCTTACTTATTGTGACTGGAGATTCACCACTAGGCGAAGACTGAGAGTCAAGCTGGTGGTGAGGGGGCCTAGATGGAAGAGCG